GGTGGCCATCTATGCTAAAATGCATTCAGTCTTAGCCGTCCAGAAACAGTGAGGAACCAGCCCCTGCCGCATTGGCCCCACCCCCTGGGTGCATGCTGGGGAGGTGTCACCCTTTGTGAGGAATGAAGAAATGCGCCATGCCTTGGCACTTGCCCCAGTCCCACCCCCTTCTGCCAGAGACCCTCAGATCTGTCCCACTCCTGCCCAGGCCCCCACAGGCACCCTTGACGCAAACGATGTAGAGCTGGCCATGCCCACCCAGTAGGCCACACCCACTCCATCCACGCCCACTCAGTAGGCCGCACCCATCCTGGCCACACTCTCCCCCCCCCCCCGAGGGCAACCGCAATGCTGATGCGGCCCTCAATGAAATTGAGTTTGACATCCCTGATTTAGAGTGTGTTATTCCTATTAAAAGAATATCTCATTATAAACAAATGGTGGAACAGAAATAAAAAAGATATTTTAAATTATCTCAGCTCTCAGAGATACAGAAAGAAAACTGAAATTGTTTTTAACGAAGTACTCTCTAAAACAGGGGTGTCAAACTGCCGGCCCATGGGCCGGATGCATCATACCGAAACCGCACCCACCCCATTGCCGGCAATGGAAAAAAAGTTGCGATATGTCGCAACACGTCACGTGACGTTGTGAGTTTGACACCCCTGCTGTAAACGGTTGAAGGAAAGAAAGTAACCAGATGCTAATCTTGCAATTAAAACAGCCCTAAAAAGTTCATTCATCACATATTTATACTGATATCTCTAATAGATAACTATGTATGGTAGGGAAATCTCAATAAAGCCAGATAAAAACATAGTGTATCCCAGCTTGCTTGTTTATGTGCTTGATGGCTTCGTGCCTTTCAAACTCTTTCAGATTACAATACATTTCTTTAATACAGAGGAATGCATTGAACAATTGCCTTTGAAAAGCCCATACTGTTCCCAACAATAGATCCATTCAGAAGCATTTTTCGATATTCGGAGCGCTTGAGCAGGCAGCACCATAACGTACATAGAATAGGAGGCCCACGTTGATTTACATCTGAAGGTTAACTTGCCCCAAAGATTTCAGTAGAATAAAAACACAATCATAAGGGCTGAAGATGGGGGAAAAAAAATGCCTGAACCTGGAGATTTATACAGGGCTCAAAATCAGCCTTTCCCAATCTGTCCCTTTGCAATGCTTGAAAATTAATGAAAGTTGTGATCCAGGATTTTTGGAGGATCGTAGCTTTGAAAACTTAGAAATTCCAATTTGCTAAATACTTCACAGAGAATGTTTATGAAAGAACAAGGAACATCTACAAAATATGTTGTCTTCAGAAAGGAACCAGCGGAGTGATGCACTACCTTTCTCTGATCAAAAGAAAAGGAGAAGAAACACTGAGATCCTTTGAGATGTCAGTTTTCTTATTTGTTAAGACGGATACATAAAAAAACACCCCAACTTAAAAAAAAATGCATCTGAAAATTATTTTGTGAAACCCCGGCATGCAACCTGTATAAATACTTCACTAAGTTTTTTCTTCATCCTTCAACCTGGATTCCCTCAAAATGACATTTTGCATGTTAATGTCTTATTTGATCTCTTCTTAACCCATATAATAGGGCAATTGTCGCAGGTTTTGCATGTGGAGAAAAAGAAAATGTAAAAATAGTGGGGACAGATGTGGCTATCAGAGCGCATACCATTCCACAGGAAACTTAAATACCTCTGAGGTAAAATCTGTAAGTTCTCTAAATATCAAAGAGTTTGCGTGAGGTGTCTTGCAATTTTGGACAACCTTGATTGCGCTCCAGAACTCAGCAGAGTTAGTTATTGCTTGGATTGGGCATTACCTGGTAATTTTAAGGCTATTGAATAAGTGTAAAAATAGGAAAAACAGAGAGAGGGGGGGAGGGAGAGAGGGAGAGAGAGAGAGAAAGGGACAGGGAGAGAGGGAGGGAGAGAGAAGGAGAGGGAGAAAGGGAGAGAGAGGGAGAGAGAGAGGGAGAGGGAAGGAGAGAGAGAGAGAGAGAGAGAGAATTATGGGAGAAGAAAGTGTCAGATCAATTATACAGCTCTGTTGGGAAGATTTCATGGATACCGTCACCAGGAACTGAGCTCAACATGCGTACATATACACACAATTAAATCCGATTTGTTATTTGTCATACCATTGTTGAGGGTTCAATCTAGCAGGAAGCATTCTGAAACCTTGGTGTAATAACAAGAAACTGTTCTAATTTTGTATACTTTTTCATTGTGTATCTTGTTTCCTTCTGCGATTCTTTACCCTTCTATTTGAGCGCTCATTTCCTATGCGTTGTCACACATTCAGATGACAGACAGCAAGATGAGACCTTGCGGAAAATTTCCCTGTAATTTAGAAAATAAAAATAATTGGCAGTGTCTCCTCTCTCAGCTGAGCACGATTCAGCTAGTAATTTCAAGATGGGAATACTAAAGTACCCATTTGCCCATGCAATGTATTCTAAGACAGTTGAATTCTTACAGGAAGTACATGTCCACCTGTTCATTACTTTTGACACCACTTTATAAAAATAATGGAAAGGGGAGGGATTCCTTTTAACTACCAAAACTCATTGCTAAAAAAAAATAACTGAAGACATCTATGAAGAATGGCTGGCAATGCCTCTTGCTTAATATGCGTTGAGGAAACATCTACACCAGGGGTGTCAAACTCAATTTCATTGAGGGCCACATCAGCATTATGGTTGCCCTTGGGGGGGGGTGCAGCCTACTGGGTGGGCGTGGCCAGCTCTACATCGTTTGTGTCAAGGGTGCCTGTGGGGGCCTGGGCAGGAGTGGGATAGATCTGAGGGTCTCTGGCAGAAGGGGGTGGGACCGGGGCAAGCATCAAGGCATGGTGCATTTCTTCATTCCTCACAAAGGGTGACACCTCCCCAGCATGCACCCAGGGGGCGGGGCTGATGCGGCAGGGGCTGGTTCCTCGCTGTTTCTAGACAGCCTTGTGGAGCTAAGACTGAATGCATTTCAGCATAGATGGCCACCACAAAATTGTACATCGGCTCCCGGCCAGCCTGGGCCAGGGCCAAGGCAGCGGGGGGCGTTCCCTCACTGTTTCCAGGATGGCTTTGCGGGCCACATGAAACCACTTCGCGGGCTGCATTTGGCCCCCAGGCCTTGTGTTTGACATGTCTGGTCTACACTCACATATTTGCAGACAAGATCCACTTGGTTCAGCCTTACATTAAATACAGGGAAACAAGAAATGCAAGTCATATACCTGCCCATGGTTCCCTGATTATGGGAACACGATCAATTAGCTCTTAGGAACAAGTGGTAGTTTTCTAGAGAACGACAAGGAGGAGAAAATATCCATGAATAGGTCAAGTAGCGGAGAAAGAAGGAAAAAATGTTCTCAAGGAAGCAGGATATAGGTGTACAGCCACCTGAAGAGATCCTCTCTTATTCTTGGGATGCTGAAAGTTAAATGCCAATGTACCAGGATCAGGTATGGGTACCACATTAGGAAAGTTGGACAAAGAGTGAAAGTGAAAGAGTGGACACGGCTTGAAGAATATGGAATGATCGTCCGATTCTGAAGTACCAGCTGAACTGCAATTTGTGATCCAAGCCCGGCTGCCTTTCTGTGTTCTCAAACTCTAGACCCCGAAAAAGAAAAAGTACGTGTCCCAAATTGCTAAAAATGACTAATCTCGCAAGATGTTTGCAGTGTCCTTTTGTGAAAGTTGGGGAAAGTTGAAATCTAACCTGATCGATCAAGATTTTCTCATTCTTGTGAGATCCTCTAAGATTCTGGTGGTCTCTGGAAATCTCAAGATAATTGGAATATTTTTTTTTAAAAAATTAAAAATTAGTTTAACTGACAGGGAGGGAGGGTTGCTAACTATTATGTGATACATTGTAACCAGAAAAATCCTTTTAAACTTAGACTAGTTTATTGAAAGTGATAAGGCGGTATGGATGGTTGAGCCCCACATCATATTATTTTTGTGGAAACTGCTTTCTCTTTCACCTAATATTTTAATATTTATATCTCATTGTTCCTAATAGAGATGTTTATGTGTCAAAAAGCCAGTGTGATTGTGTATCTCAAGCTGTAGCTGCTTTTTACATGTGTGATCCATGCAAAACTTCTAAAAAAAAAGAGATGGGACTTTTATCACCTAGTTATAGCAATAGCACTAGCAATAGCATTTAGACTTATATACCACTTCACAGTGCTTTACAGCCCTCTCTAAGCTGTAAAGTAAGTATATTGCCCCCAGCAGTCTAGGTCAGGGGTAGGCAACCTTGGCTCTTTTATGATTTATGGACTTCAACTCCCAGAATTCCTGAGCCAGCATGGCTCAGTTTAGAAATCTTCTCAGCATGGCTGGCTCAGGAATTCTGGGATTTGAAGTCCACGAGTCATAAAAGAGCCAAGGTTGCCTATCCCTGCTCTAGATGATAGATAGATAGATAGATAGATAGATAGATAGATAGATAGATAGATAGATAGATAGATAGATAGATAGACAGACAGACAGACAGACAGACAGACAGACAGACAGACAGACAGATCTAGATCAGGGGTAGGCAACCTTGGCTCTTTTATGACGTGTGGACTTCAACTCCCAGAATTCCTGAGCCAGTATGGCTCAGCTTGGAAACCTCTCCCTTTCCCCTCAGCATGGCTGGCTCACGAATTCTGGGAGTTGAAGCCCACGAGTCATAAAAGAGCCAAGGTTGCCTACCCCTGGTCTAGGTCCTCATTTTATGGACCTTGGAAGGAGGGAAGGCTGAGTCAACCTTGAGCTGGTTCAGAATCGAACGGCTACCAGTCGGCAGAGTTAGCCTGCAGTACTGCATTCTAACCACTGTGCCACCATGGCTCTTGACATTGGGGCCATCTTGGCATTCTTGCCCCTAAGGGATGCCCTTGATTGCTAAACCCAAGCTATCTAATTAAGAACAGCGCCGGCCCTGCTTCCATGTCTAATACACAATTGTATTTTGATTTTCAGCAACAGTTGGCCAAGAATATTAAATTTGGCCAACCTTCACAAATGACAGTTTCTGTGAAGGCACCTGGGGACGTTAGTGCAAGTTTGGAAGCAGATGTGTTGCTGAATAACCCCATGGAGACCGTGATGCCACCAGATGTGGTCCTTCCAGAGAACCACCATAAAGTAAGTCTACTTAATGGTGAGGAGCCAATTAGCAAGCAATACCTATGCGTATAGAAGATGTTCGGTGACATTAGCTGGATGATAAATTATGTATTGCCAAGAAATCCATCCTTTGGGAGTCTTTCAGATAATGGCAGTCTTAGAGGTTTTAGAATTTTGGGATGAGTATATCATTCAGAATTCCATATATGATTGATTCTTGTTTCCCATCAGTTTGATCTATCTGATTTTATTCTTTGATTTCTCAACTCATGACATAGCTATGAAAGTACACGAATGAAACTTCATAAATAAAAGCAAACCATAGACAAGCAAACCATACATTTTGTTCTTAACTTATATCTTCATTACAAGCATGACCATCTCTTCATTACAAGCATTACCATCTCTTCAAAGGGATCTCTTTCTGATATACTGAAATTACACCAACATTAGACACTACCTAATGTGTAGAGCAGTGGTTCTCAACCTTTCTAATGCCACGACCCCATAATACAGTTCCCCGTGTTGTGGTGACCCCCAATCACTTATACATCACCGGGTGCCAGGGGCGTGGCCAAAGAAAAGGGGGAGAAAAATGGCGGACAGCCTTGTTTGGCGACCCCCGTGAAATGGTCATTCGACCCCAAATGGGGTCCCGACCCACAGGTTGAGAACCACTGGTGTAGAACCTTGGACAATTTGCTTGATTTGCACACTTCTAAAGTCTCCACTGTTTACAGATCATGGGTAATATCAGCAATGGGGCAAAATGAACCCTCTGCTGATCAAGTTAGTTCTTACATTCAAAGTATTTTATCACTGAACTGGAAATGCCATTTAAACCCAGCAAATGCAAAGCAGTGGTCTTTGCTCCCATGGATGGAGACCCTTGCCTTATAGCAATGTACTCAGACTGTTGGAAAAGAGATACAAATACAGAACTCCTGTTATGCCAGCATGAGATGGGAAAGGGGGCTGGAGATTCTTGCTATGAAGATTAATGTAATGTTTTCAGTGGTTTGTCTTTATATGTTAACATTGATTTCCCTCTCGTATTCTCCTTTAAATGGCTTCTTGAGATTTCATGTAAAAGAAACCACAAATTGTTTCCAATACGTAGCCAGAAGTACATGGCACATAGAAGAGGGGAAAGCTGTTAACCATTTATTTTCTTTCTATTTTCTCAGTGAGGGAAGCAATGCTTCTTTGGGCACAAATCTGATGAAGTGTGATCAGGAAGTCAGTAATGGGCTAGCTTGAAATAATACAAAACAAATGATTAGTTGACAACATTCTCCCTTCAGAGATCACATTGGCCTTGGACCCTGCTGTCCTTTCATAAGGCCATAAAGACCTGATTCTGTGCTTAGACTTGGGACCCCGAGTGTATGAAGGGACCAGTCTCCTGTTTATGTGGATGATCATTGTAATCTTATCAGCTGCTGTATATTTTAATTTGTGTACACTATATGTATCTGTTTTTATTTTTTTGCCATTATTTGAAGCCTAAAGTCAGTTGTTGAGATGGATGACTATATCAATGTATTGATTAAATAAAGTTATCTGTCCTTAGACATTGGCCAGAAGTAGTAGCTGCTGATTGGAGAAAAGTTCTCTCCAACATCTAGATCAAACTTTCTCAGGAGTCTTTGGGTTCTATGAGAGATCACTAGAAGTTCTAGAAGAAGTCATGATTAAAAAATAAATAAATTTTGTACAGTGAGTTGTAAGTATAATAATTTTTATGCAGTTGTTCCTTGAGCTCTGACAATTATTTCAAGGATTGAAAAAAAACTGTTCTGGATTCACAAACTTTAATATTTTGATGTCTGGATAGATCTGAAAATAAAACAGTCTAGATCAGTGGTTCTCAACGTTTGTGTGGCGGCGACCCCTGTCACACAAACGTTCTGCACATGCGGGGGGCCGCCCCATGCGCGGCGGTGCCGCCCCGTGCGCAGCGCGCATGCGCGGCACCGCCCCCTGAGGGGAGAAAATGGCGGATCGCCTTCTTTGGCGACCCCCGAAAAATGGTCGATCGACCCCAAATGGGGTCGCGACCCATAGGTTGAGAACCGCTGGTCTAGATCAATCTCAAGTCAAGTGTACTTTAAACTAGATTGGTAGATTGAGAAAGTTCTAAGGGATAATAGAGTCTAATTGACTTTTAGAGCATATCAAAGTACTGTACTGTTGATTCATGTAAATAGAATTTTGAACATTCTTGTCTATGTCTCTTCTGGATCACTCTTCTACTTTCTCTTCTCTTCCTTCTGCATTTCTTATTTTCATTGCTCTGTTGACTTCTCTTATTTTCATCTTCTCTGCTTTTCCTTCAGCACCTACTCTCCTGTTTGCTTCTGCACATTTCACAGACTCTCTCTTTCTTCTCAATCTAACCCACTCTTTCTTCCCCTCCATTCCTGCTCTTTTTATTTTCTACAACTTGCCTTGTGAAGCCCTGGGGACGAGGTATTACATAAGCATGTCACAGCAACGTATTTCACAGTGAAGCTAGAATGACATCTACAGAAACATAGGAAAGTTCATGGAGACTTTTCAAGGCAGATAAGTAACTTTAAATTCTGAGGGCTAATGTAGTTAATACATGTTGTTAAACTTAGAAAATATTAACAAACGATTACCCAAAATAAGAGTTCATGTGTCTCCGCAACAGGAGAGAATCTGTAGGTACCAATTCAGTGACTTGCAAAATTAGTAGGTTTAACATTAAGTAGCTTAGGTGCATTACTTTATATAGTTGACGTACAGCTTTATGTTCCTTCATGCGCTGTGTGCCTCTGCAAATTCTGAAATTTGATAGGCTCTGATTTTTTTGACAGTCAGTTCTTTAATATAATCCACTAACCACTAACAATAGAAACATGTTGTTTTAACTGTGCAGTGTTTTGGATTCAAAGGCCAAGGGGTGCATCAGAACACACAGGCAAACATGTAAAACCGTGCCTGCAATTCCTGAAAGCAAATCCACCTTTTTCTAGGATCTGCTCACTGTCTTATTGCTTTGCCAACAGTTGGAAAAATTGTACAGATGGATCGCTTGTGCAAAAAAGGAATGATGGTTGTACCTAATTCAAGTGAAACATTGTGGAGCAGAACAAAGATTCTAATGAATTCTATCAATAACTGAAACAAAGAGAGGAAATACAAGGCTTTAATCGAGTTGACAATTCTTTGTTCCTGGGGTTTATAATCTCGTCTTTAAAGACTTTTCCTGTTTCTCAGGATTACAAAGAGTATTGCTAGTGACATCTATGGACAAAACTATGTGCCTTATTTTGTTTTGGTGGCATGGTTACAGAAGTCTTCCAGGGCCACAAAAACAGGGCTGGCACACTGTGTGTGGCCTGTGGTTTGTATACCCTGTCCCTCAGAAAAATGATTGCCCAAGGATAACTGCACTGAAACCCCACATTTCTTGTCTATTGATGAAGATCAAATGCTTCCTACTGGAGAAAACTTTTTAAAAGATGTTCTAGGAATGTTCTTCTCCAGACAGCATAGGAGCTTTGACTAGGACTGTTTATACATTGGTTAACAACACCCAAAACAGGAAGAGGCTTTTTAATAAAGTAGACAGAAAGTAAATGCATGTTTTGCCTTTAGCCTGAGTTTTTGATAGGACTGGACACTAGCTGTTTTTTTTTAAAAAAATGAAAGATGAGAATATTTGGATTATAATGCACACTCAGTTGACCCACTCCCTTGAATGCACCTGCATTTATAAGTAACATTCATTAGCCTCTTATTAATTCATTGTTTTTTTACAAAAAAAAAAACAAGAACAATACAGAACAAAAAACAACATATACAAAAGAGAAAAAAAAATTAAACAATACATAAAAAAAAAAACCCCACCCCACACCCCTCCCAAAAACCCTCCCTTCCCCCCCCCCTGAGCTTCCCAGAGCAGAATATAGGCTTAAGAAATAATAAAAAAAAAAATAAAAATTAAATTAAAAACTCTATATTTATATATATAAAAAAGATATCTATAATATATATAAAAATAAAACTTATGAAAAGGCTATATAATATTTTTGTATACCCAATCTAAATTGTATAAATTTTATCCATTTGTCCCAGATAGCAAAAAACTTCTCTTGCGTTTGTTGCTTTAAGAAAGCCGAAATCTTTGCCATTTCCGCCAGATAAGCTACTTTAAAAAACCATTCCTGCAATGTAGGCAAAGATTCCTTCTTCCAATATTGTCCAACTAACAGCCTCGCGGCTGTGATCAAGTTTAACATCAATACAACCTCCTTTGTATCACAATCTGTAACAATACCTAACAAAAATAATTGCGGAGTAAATTTTACCCTCCTTCTAAAAATTCTCTGGATATTCCACCATATTTTGATCCAAAATGCTTTTATCTCTCTGCATGACCACCAAATATGATAATAAGAAGCCTCCTTGTAACCACATCTCCAGCATTTAGGTTGCACGTCAGGGTACATATAAGACATTTTTTGTGGATCAAGGTGCCATCTATAAAACATTTTATAAAAATTCTCCCTTAAATTCTGTGCTTGAGTAAATTTGACATTTCTCACCCAAATAGTTTCCCAGGTGTCCAATGAAACTGGCTCACCAAAGTTCTGCGCCCATCTAATCATACAATCTTTAATTAGTTCCGTTTCTGAGTCCAATTCAACTAAAACCCCATAAATTCTCTTAATGTGGGTTTGTCTTTGATCCTTCAGTTGCTTAATAAGATTTTCATCTTCTCTAAGAAAACCCACCTTGCAATCCATCTTCCATCTATCTAGTAGTTGCCTATATTGGAACCAAGAATAAGTAAAATTTTCTTGTGCTAATTCTTCCCGTGATTTTAATTGCCAGTTTTGTCCATCCCATTTAAGTAACTGTCTATAAGACACCATATCCATTTTAACCCCTCTTTTTATTCCTTCTATCGCATGCCAAGGTATAGCCCATAATGGTACTTTAAAATCACTTTTATAATATTTTCTCCAAATCCTAAGTAAAGAAAT